TGCAGCTCCCACTTCTTCAGTTTTGTGTAATGTCTCATGAATACGTAAAATGTTGTAGATTCATCTTTTATAATATTATTCGTTGATATGTAATTACAAGGATTTGAGATCAAATAGTTCTTTCTACTAAAATCCTAACTTAACCTCCACCTTTAATGACGTCATCATAATAATTTGATCTATTATTATTATATAAATAGAATTATTGTCGAACAATTGATTTTCATAGGTCATAAGCAAGTTACAAAACTTGTGCAATCCTTATTTTTCGATCGTAAAAAGCTTTGAAAAATGGTTCACTGTATTAAAGTCTCATTAGACAAACGATTTCTTTTTTTATATTTTATATCGGTAAACATAGCAGACAGTAGAAAAATCCCACGAATATAAGATTTTGACACAAGTGTTTATGAAAGACACTATAATCTAAAAGTTAATTCTTCCACAGGCAGTAGTACTTCTTCGGCAGCGTTGAAACCTAAAAAAGCACCGTTAATGGCCAAGTCGTTATCTTTTATGAAGAATCGTTTCAAAAGATGAATGACCACTCCTGAAGCAGACTATATGAAATGTACATTGACAAATCTTTCAATTATTGTTCTTGCTCTTAGTTTAGTAATTATGTAATTCTGGGTGATGTATTTATACAAAAACAACAGGATATTTTATTTATGCAGATTGATAATTGTAATTTTAATGTTGATAATTTTTAAAGTGTATAGTCGTCGAAAAAATCTTATTATTTATTGATGATTGAACTGAATATAATTATGAAATAATTTCTGCCTTTTATTTCCTCGAGTATTGTCTGTTCACAGTTTCTAAACTGACATATACATATAGTAGCTATAGAATGTGTATTGTGTAAAAGATTAAGCGTTAAGTTCCTCATTCACGGTTGATACATCATGTCAAATTTGAAACAACTGTAACCTTTCCATAAATTAATTTAAGTTTGAACAAAGCTCCTCAAAATGCAACAATCCAGTCAAAATTTAACTTTAACATACAATGAGTATCAGATGAAAGGGCTTAATGAGAGGAACACAATAAGCAAATGAAGTCATTCTAATACATTTCATACAGCGATCGCCGAACATATCGATTTATCGTTATATGATATATATATATATATATATATATATATATATATATAATACAAATAAAATAAGAGGTTTTATGGAGTCCTATCGACGAATTATATGAAAATAATATAGAACTTACTTTGGCGCCCACAGGAATTTTTCTCAGCGGGGCTGACCATCGGTAAGCGTCTTATGTTTTGTAGGATGAGAAAAGGGTGTAACACGCTTTCATTTGAAACCATGAGATCACGGAGCTTCCAACCGAAAAACAATATTTTTAAATTTTCAATTCACCTTATTAACAGCTAAACTAAAACTTGTTTTCAAATATGTATTTTTTTATTTTATTGATTGCTCTTACGTGTCATATCATAAGTGGATTTAACGTAGCTTTTGGTTAGAATAGTATCAAAAAAGGCTACATCATTGAATCCGATTCCTCTAGGTTTCCAAAAAAAGGTTACAGGTATAAAGTTGGCTTGGATATGGAAGTTTTAATTCAAAACAGCTATAGAGGTACATTTACGAAAATTTGGGAATCGCCCTTTATATAGAACTACAGGATAATTTTCTAGCAGATCCGTACAAAGGAATGTGACCATTTTTTCAAATTGTCCTTCGATTAGGGTGTGGCGAATTTAAAAACCGAGAGTCGAGCAGTTCAGCAACAAGTGGTCGTACTGCTGATTGTAATAGTAAGTGATTGCAACATGGGTAAATCAACTGTTGTTTGTGCGTTCTTCAAGATGTTCCCCAAAAGCGTATCAAAGTAAGTTGAATATTTAAAAATAATATAATCTGTACACACCGGGTGTATCAAATTCGACTCTTACCATTGGGATCTCGGAAACGGTAAGAGATACGATGTCGGTTAAATGGGAACGCATTCAAGTAACTAAGAAAATGGCGCGTAGAAAATTTCGCAATTCCTAGTTTTTTCCGAAACAGACGAATAAACACAATTTTCCCCAAAATCGTTTTCTGGTAAATCAAAACCCCGGAAAACTAAAATGGATTTGCATGATGTAGAGGTATTCGCATAATCGCAGGTAGTAATCTTAACCACCAATGACCGCACACAAAGCGGACTAAAACCAGGATTATGTACTTATTCTTATTGGCTGTTAAGAAGGGATTTTACCATGTTTGCAAATTTTCCTTTAATTAGAGTGTACAGCTATTTAAAAATATTCTATCTAGGAGTGAAGTAATTCAGTATAGATCAGGTGGTCCTACTGTTAACAGTGATAGTAAGTGATTGAAACATGGATAAATCAATTATTCTTCGTGCTGTCTTCAGGAAGTTCAACTCGACTGTATTAAAGTAAGTTGAATATTTAAAAATAATATAATCTGTACATACCGAGTGTTTCAAATTCGACTCTTACAATTGGGATATCAGTCGATATCGGTTAAATGAGAGCACAATAAAGTAACTAAATTGCACGTAGAAACTTTCAGTATTCCGAATATTCCCGGATATAGACGAAAGAAACAGAATTTTCCCAAAATCGTGTTTATTTTTTACTGACATAATTTCAGATGTTACTTCAAAATACAGAGTATACATTAACATTGCCAATTTTTCTCCTCTAGATGGTATAATTAGAATATTAATATGGCGTTTTGTCTCTTGTTCCCAATCATCAACTATAGTCTAAACATAAACGAAAATAGCCCTGGTTTGCGATATAATTGTAGTCTGGTTTTATTGCTGCAAATTGTTGGAGGGGGTATTCAAAACATCGACGCATAAAACGGGTGCTACAATTTTTGTGGTAAAACCTTTTATTTGACAACAAAGAATGAGAAAATGTGTTTGTTTTTTGAGATTCAATCGAAAGTGTTGGCAGGAAGGAAAACTCTTCATACAAGATTTTTAGCTATCTATGAGACCTACAAAATGAGACCACAAACATTTCGTATTTGTGAGTAATTCGCAACAAAAATGATAGACACATCCACTTTGTTTTAAAATGTGTATATAATAACGTATGTTTTTCGAATATCGTAGCGCATTTGTTCAGTTAGTCACAAATACGAAATGTTCGAATTTGTTTAGAAGAAAAAAAAAAAACGTAACTTTTGTTTTTCGCAGAAAATTAACATCGTTTGGAATGGTTTGTGATTCATATCGGCAAGGTAAACACGTCTATTTTGCTATTAAATGCTCTTTCAACAAACCCTGTATATTGCTCAATAAACTAGTAGTGATAGCCGAAAAACAGGTGTTTTGGGATAAACAATTAAAAATCAAAAAGCTGCTTGACCAGTATACTCCAATTTTGTTGTTATTTAGAAGTATGATTCCTACGGATTTGAAGAATTTCAAGTAGTTGCGTGAAATTATCGTCGCATTACCAGCAAGTGCCAAAACCTGCATTTTGCCTCATTTTTCGGCCATAACATTTTTGCTATTAGTCGGATCTTTCCACGTGCGGTCAAATTAAAATTATAATTATTCCATTATGTAGAAGAAGTGTTTATGCACTCTTTATTTTGAAATCGCATCTCAAATCACGCCAGGAATAAATAAAAACGGTTTTTGGAAAATTCAATTTCTTTCGTCAATCGTCGACAATTGCGAAACTTTCATACATTGCAAATAACAAATAAGGCGGAATTAAAGAAAACTGAGTATCTGGTATTCCGTTGTTCACCTACCTAAATGTAAATATTCGTCTTATTCCATTAAAAGAAGTTATTCTTCTGATGATGTAACATTACAAATTTATTACAGAGTTTGCAGTAAGGAGGAGAAATCTAGTCATCATACTAAAACAAATGGCGAGGAAACTGATAAGCATACAGAAAAGCATAGTAGCTGCAGTCATAGTGAATCTAGCAAAAGTAGTGAAACATATAAAAGTCGATATTCTCATAAAGGCAGTAGTAGCAAAGAGAAAGATAAGTCTAAGCATACATCTAGTAGACATGAAGATGAACGCAAGCGCAAACAAATGGATTTTACTCCAAGTTCAGAGTCAGAATCAAACACAAAAGGCTACACTTCAAATGAATCTTCATTAGAATCTGAAAGTGATCATAAGGTAAGCAAACATTCAAAAAGTCACAGGGGGCGTAGCTCAGATCGGGAGGTCCATTCAAGGAAACGACATGATTCTACTAGTTCGAGTGAGAAAGAAAAACATACTTCAAGATCAAATGAGAACTCAGGCAAATACAAAAATTCAGAAGATGAAAAACCCTCAAAGAAAAGGCATCGTTCAGGGTCAAGTGATGAAAAAGAGTTTAAGAAAAAATCAACAAGCAGTGATAAAGTCAGCTCCAAATCCACAGAGAAGTCCAACGAAAGAAAAGATAAGTATGATGAGAAGCATCCAAAAAAGAAAAGGCATTCCAGTAGACCTAATGATGACGAAACGACAAAGAAAGAAAAACGTAAGATCAGCGAAAGTTCCAAGTCGAAAGAAAAGTCGAGTAGTAGAGAAGGAGAGGACTCTGATGATAATAAAAACTCGAAGAGGAAAAGGAGTCATTCTAATGATAGCAGTGACGAGGGTAGAGCTGGAAAGAAGTCGGAAAAATCCATTAGAAAAAGAGAAGACTCGAGTGATGACAGGCACTCAAAAAAGAGGAGAACTCATTCTAGTGATGGTAGTGGAGATGACAAAATTGAGAAGAAAACAAAGTCTGTGGCATCTACTGATTCAAAGTAAGTCCTTTTTCTCATATATTATTTTGTTTTTTGGACCCTGATATTTATATTTATATGCTATTAGTAGCCCAAAAGAATTTGGAAAGAATGCACGGCCCTTAGTATCGAATTGGATGCAACAAAAATATCTGGTCGATAAATTCTTCCAATTCTTTTTGGGCTACTTAATCATTAGATAACATATTATTTGTTCGGGCTCTAAATGTCTGATTTTGAAAACATCTACTACTTTGCAGGTTGAAAGATAGGCCCAGCAAGAGTAGTAAACAGGATGAGGAAAAACATAGGCATAACGACAAAGACTGTGATGAAGACAAGAAAAAAGAAAAGTCTAAGAGGGATAGCAAATCTAGGAGTGAGAAGGAAAGTTCAAGCACAAAGTCACATTTATCATCAAGCAGTAAGGATAACGATGCTAATAAACACAAAGATGACAAGAAAAGCAGTTCTGGCTCTCAAGTCAAATCAAAATCTGAGCCAAGGACTGATAAAGATTCAAGGTGAGTAGTACTTATTATTGTTAAACCTCTTTGCTACAGCTAATATATTTCAGTGTTAAAAATAGTGGTTTCAATTTAAGAAAACTGTCACAGTCACCATTAGATATAAATTTTTTCCAGCCTTATAATTTTATTACACAACATTTTACTTTACGAAACGTATGTTTCGAGATATTTTGTGGTTTCCGTTAAAAATTCATTAGCTCTTCAAATAACCTTGACGGTGATAGTTAAGCTTATGGACAAATTTGAGCATTAAGCTTCTTGCTCTTTTTATTTTCAGTATCATTAATAGGGGTTTTCATTTACGAAAAATGTGTTTAACTTCAAATGAGCTTGAAGGTCACCGCTAGATTCAAAACTTACAACTTTATTACAAAATATTTTTCTTTATGAAATGTATTTCTCGAGATATTTTATCCTTCACCTACTTTCTGGACGCCCTCAAATAATAATTAGTTATAGGGATAAAAATTATGGACAAAGCCATAGGCAAAGACATGCTTCACATAATTATAGCATTTTTTCGGTAGAAATTTTCAAGGTCCAAGGTGTATGCTTCCGCCACTTCGTTGAAACAGTTCATAATAGTTTTGTGAGTTTTTTGCTATGGGGACGTTTCTTCACTGCTTCACTTCAAGGAAAACCTTACTAATTACGACCAAATGACGCGGTTTTAATCTCTGTTTGTTGCGCGGTAATGCAGCGTTATCCACGATATGATTTGAAGTCGGAGAAATGTTGAAGACATGCTGATTTCATTTAAGAAAATGTCATTTTTATTCACATTATCCATTGTTTTCCAGCAAAATGAAAATTCCGAAGGCATATGACGTGAATAAAATCATAAATGGTATTGATTCGGGATCCGGTATCAGCTTCGAAGAGGCACTAGGGCTGTGTGGGCCCCCGATGCATATGAAAGGTACTTCTAGTAACAAGAAGAGAAGTCTCAAAAAATCTCGGAATACGAAGGAACAAGGCGGCTCTTCGAGACCGACTAAACGGGAGAGTAGCGAGGAAAGAGAATCATTGCCCTTGAAGAGCGATTTCAATGGGACTGTCGAAGAAGTAATTGTAAGTTCTCAACATATATTCAGAATGTTACTAAATGTTTCCAGGAAAAATCGGGAGCAGAAGCACCATTTAAGATATGGAAAAACGTTCACATAGACATAGGTCCGAAAATGTTTACTTTCCATATCAAACTCGGATAAGTTTTAAACACTCCCAGATCATGAAAACAGTGTTTTCCAGACCAATGTGTAATTAAACATTTTTTAAATTAAATATTCCGAAATAATGAATACTCTGTAGTCCAATCAGAAGGAGCATTTTAACAAAAATGGACTCCGCAGGTTGGCACGATCAATTCTGAGAAATATTTTTTTAGGTTCCTGCTTTTCCAAAACAGCCGCAGCTGGAACCCTTGAATAACATGTCTAGTCCACTACCAGGGATAACTCCAAACTGCAGGCCTTTTGATTCACAACTGATCTGCCAAAGAATGACTGATGATGAGGCAGTTACTAGGGTGATGACAAACAAAGATTATAGGTAAGATTCATCTTTTTCTTGTGTAATTAATCTTGATAATCGTACAGGGTGCTCTGACAGATGGGGCTTTCCTTTCTACGCCAAAATTACCGTTCATTTGATAAAAAAATTTCAAGCACCGCATTATCACTTGGTGTGCCTTTCAATTCCGTATTCAGAGATGTTGCGATGTACGAGTATTTTGCTGCTCTTTTCCATTTCGGTAACCCAGTATATAGGTATACTTTATGCAGTATTGGGCTTCTTATAAGTATTTTGCGAAACATTTTTGTTATCTCAAAGCTATAATTCATACCTTTCGCGGGTGACATATTGAACTTTAGGAAGTTATTCTCAAAACCATTTAGCTGTTCCCTAGCTGATTAGCTTTTAAGAACACACGCGTGGGATTACACGATTTAGGTTGGTATCAAAATATACTTGTCAGATTGAAACTTCACTATCCTGCGAATCCCACCTTAATATTATGGAATAGAAGAAAAATTGCTCATTTTCATCAGAATTATACACTGTGTAAAGGGAATCCCCAAGTACATATGAAAATGTTTTAAAAAGATAGATAGGATTTTTGAAGTATACTCTTTTTTTAGGACCAAAGTATATCCTGGAAATAAAATGTCTGGGAAGGTGGATACTCTATCCGGTCACTGTGCGAGGATATTACAAGATAATATTGATGGTATGTATTTGCAATATGCTTAGTAGGAACATAATTTGTTTAAATCAGCCGTGTGGTTTGACGTGATGCCTTAATGGCATCCCCCATATTCTGTGGCATAAAATCGTTATTTCTCACATACAAAACGTTATCTTACAGCATTGGAGTACACTGGAGGTGTTCCTTACTTATTTCTGAAACCGGTGTTGGAAAAAGCAACTCCAGATCAATTGCTGTATGTGGAGTATCATAATCCATACTTAACCGAGGAAACTGATGAATTGTGGCAGTTGTATTGCGAGAAGGAATTTCGTACTAAGAAAAGGGAAGAGCTGGAATCTTGGAGAGAAATGTACTTGAGGTGAGTTTCATTTCAATAAATAATTTAGATAGAAATATAATTTCCAATTTGATGGTTTCTTGATGACACTCTGGAGCTGCAGAGCTTCCTTTTAACTCTTCGTCCGTAAATAAGTGATCACTTGAGTAGCCGCAGCCAGTGCCGCTATTTTCTGATGAAAATAATAGTATTATGCTAAATTAAAATGTAGATCATACTATAGCTCTTTAATACATTGTTGAGAATTTGTCATTTATTTCACGTCAGTCTAAACCCGCGGCTCCGCTCGCGTGGAAGTGATGTGAAATATATGTCATTTGTTTTGCATTAACGTGAAGAAGATTAGTTTCGGAAACAAAAAAAGTAATATCCAAATTTATGCAATAATTTAGTAAGTTTACTGTGAAGCCTAACTGATCTTAAAATGGCCTTGAAGGTCATGGTCAGGTTCGTTGGCAATGACATACTTGAAGTTAAATTATCCGCAATCTGTAATTCAGGAATTAAAAATGGATGTTTGTGATTTTAGGTGCTTCGGGGAGAGGGCAGCTAGGTTTAAGGCCATTACTGCTAACATAAGACAAGCTCAAGAAAAATTAGTACCAGTTAGAACTACAAAGCTTGCTTATATTGACAGCGTTGTCAAGCCGCCTAGGAATATAGCCAGAAAGCAGGTTCGTGTAATACTGTTATAACTTTGTAGAGCAAAAAATTTTATTCGCATATTCTTTCACCATCCAATAAATTAAAGTACATATACATACAGATAAAAAACGTTTACTTTTAGTACAATATTTTTTAGAAAGTCAATGGACTATTTTTAAACTTCTTTCAATACTTACCTCAAATTTCTGAACTATAGACAACCGATAGTTTTTTATAAAAATAAAATGCAGTTTTCTGCTAAAACGAACCTCAGCTCAAAGCAATACGTACAATTATACAAGTAATATAAAACAGTTTCAATTATTCAGAATTTAATTCTCAAGTCCAGTTTGTAGATTGATGTTTCTTTGGATGTTGTTTCTTTGAAGGCTGAAGGCCCTATAAGACAATCTTGAACTTCATCGCAGTCCTTTAAACAAACATTACTTTCAGGCTAAGAACGGTATCGTACCCGAAAAGAAGATGGTAACTCCTGCAGATCGATTAGCACGATTAGAGAAGACTCGCGAAGCAGCGAAGGTTGCCTGATTCTAGAACGAGAGTCACAGAAAGATCGAGTAAGTAACTCTTTGATTATTATTAAAAAAATCAAAACCTTCCATTGATCAAATTTCCACTCACTACAATGATGGCTGGGTGATTATACAAGTTAATCACAAAAATTGTATCATTCAACAGCACGCTCCTTATTTGGAAAATATGTTTATTCCTACAGGGTGATTCATAATTACGTGGAGGCCCAAACATACATTTTTTCAAATTTAAAGACCTACATTTTTTTCAAATTGTTGAACTATTAGACAATCTATCAAAAAAACACTCAACTTTGACAACTCGTACCTCCGCAACTGTTATAGCTAGAGACCTGAATTTTTCATAAAAAACAATTTTATGATCCGATAATTTCTCCCTATCTACCTACTTTCTAATATTTTTAAGAGTTTATACAGGGAGGTCAAAAACCCAAATGAACTATTTCTCAAAATTTTCATATAAAACTCCCTGTATATTTTCACAATTTTTGTTTCCCTTTTTAACACGTTTTCTCTGAAGGCTATGTATATATTATATTATATATAATGAAAATACACAAATTTTAACCATCTGCCTTTAGTAACTGGACGCTGTTTTTATTTTGGAAGGTAGTATTTTTGTATACCATGAGATCCGATTTACAAAAAGGTTAACTGAAGTTCAAAAACTATGCGTACAACTCCCATAAACCTTATATCGAAAAAAAAGCTTGAGAAAAGGGAAATCAAATGATGTTAAAATATTCAGGGTATGCCACTTGAACATTTTGAGATATAAAAAAAAGGGATCATCAAATTATTCTGAAGAAAAATTCAGTAGTCCAGCTGTAATAGTTGCGAAGATGCGAGCTGTCAAAGTTGGGAGTATTTTGAGATAGATTGTCCAATATCTAAACAACTTGAAATAAGAACCTATAGTATTACATCCAGTAGATCCATTTAAAGTATAATGTTTAATAAATAAAATTTTGACACATGTTTAGCAAAAACACTATAGTCTAACAGTTCATTTGTCCACAGGTACTACTTCATCGGCAGCGTTTAAACCCAAAAGAGCACCGTTAATGGACAAGACGTTATCTTTTATGAAGAATCGTTTCAAAAGATGAATGCCCACTCTTGAATCTGACCATACGAAATGTACATTGAAAAATACTTAAAATTATTGTTTTCAGTTAAGTGACTATGTAATTCTGGGTGATGAATTTATACAAAAACAACAGAATATTTAATTATGCTGATGTAC